CTATACTAGGGGTAGGCAACCTTGGCTCTTTTATGACTCGTGGCTTCAACTCCCAGAATTCCTGAGCCAGCCATGCTGAGGGGAAAGAGAGAGTTTCCAAGCTGAGCCATGCTGGCTCAGGAATTCTGGGAGTTGAAGTCCACGAGTCATAAAAGAGCCAAGGTTGCCTACCCCTGCCCTATACCATTTCACATATGGTAGGTGCTGTCCATTCTTTTCTTAAAATTCAAGCAATTACGGTACTTTTGCAGGACTTCAAAAAGTCTAGGTTCATCAGTCCAAGAAAGGAAAATATAATCCAAAATTCATGGTTGGATAAATCCAAACACAGAGACATACACTTTTGCCTTTTCCAGGATTATTAAGATTTGCAGGTTAGATTAGCAAGGAGCACATTTAATTTACCCAAGAAAGACATGAAGGGAGGACAGTCATTATTTCTTCGACCTTGGATACTTGGTGCAATCTCCATCTCCAGACAGAGTCTAAAATGCAAGCAAGGTTTCTGGCCTTATTTTTGGACTTTATGTTTCTTTCCTGACATTCTCTCTTTGTCTTGCAACAGTCACTCTGATAAAGGCTTCTGGAGAAAATGAATGCCACTCTTATGCCGTTTTGACCCTATTGAAAGTTTTCTCCAAGAAAATAACTGTGCTGCACCAGCCGGAGTATAACTTCTGGAGAAAACCTCTCTGCTGTGTACCATGGAATCCTAGACTGAGCAGGAACCCAACCCTGCTATATTGGCTTGCTTTGATTCAGGAGAATCCCTGCTCTGAAATAACTGCTTGCTAAGAGACCGGGCTACAAAACCTACAAGCCTTTGTGGTGAGTCCTCCTTTGCCCCAGCTATTTCTCAGAAATGCAAGCTGATTAATTTAAAGACTGGCAACTTTTCAACTCGCCAGTGCCTGTAACAGCAGCTTGACAAGCAAGTGATACTGGTTATCTACATGCTGTGAGCTTTATTGTTTTCTGAACCTCAAGCTGTTGTTAAAAAGCACAAGGCAATGCCAGGCCAGCATATATTTTTTTCTAGTCAGTTGGCAAACCTAAATGTAAGATGCCTGAAATTTGTATTCTAGGGATTCTCTCCATTCCTCTCCCATCCCCAATAGCATAGATCACTTTAGAAGATGTATTTATATATTTCAAAATATTTATAAGCTGCTTTCAGCAACAGGGTCCACAAAGCAACAGAGAAAAGGGATTCGGATGTTGATACAGCCATGGATATTACTAAAAACACTTATGCATTATTAATAAATAATAATGCTCGGTCTGAATAAAAACAACGACCCGTATTTCAATTGACAAACAGCATTGCAGTATAGAAATCAAGTTTCTTTCAAAAACAAAAAACAAAATAAAGAACATATGAGATACACAGGGGACTACGGCCCCATCTGGGTTTCTTGGTATGCCGATGCCTTCAATCACATGTGAATGGTCCACACTGGAGCCTGTGCAGAAGCCTAACATTTCAAAGAGCTGTGCACAGTGTCCCTGAAGCAAGACATTAAGATACGCATCAGGACTTTCTCCCCCAACCTTCTCAGCCTCTGGTCTCCATTCATTGTTAAAACATCCTTTTTTCTCTTAACATCTCTGGCTGTTTTTTGGATTCGGTTTTGCTCTCTGGAGTTTCCTGACTCAGTCAGCCAAGCCTTCCTTCCAAGACACTATAGAGTTTGAAATATATAACTTGGGAGCTGAGTTCTTCCTCTGCTGCAGAAACGGATGTGCAGCCTTCCACCCCCCACACTTGGCAGTTCTCTTCAAGCACAAAACCCCCTCAAAAGTCCATCCCCCCCCAACCCAGGGCCTCACGCCAAGGCCACGAGAACTTCCTTTTTCTGCTCCAACTTCACATATATGAAGGACGAATAGGTACTAAAGTCACATAGAAGTTGGGGAGAGGGGGGGGAAGCGTCAATCCAACATATTTAAGCTTCTCTACAACTTCTTTAGCAGTTAGTAGCAGCAGCAGCAACGCTCAGCTATGAGCCTTTACACACAATTGCGAGTATTTTATCCACTTCTATGAAGTGTTCATTCTTCATCTATTTATCTGCATTTGTTTCCCCTGAAAATGCCCATGCAGATTCTTGTATTCTCAGGGCTGCCAGGACATTGCAATCTAGGCCAAACTGCAGGGTTATCTCTTCTTTTCTGCACTTTGTTTTATTATTTATTTATTTATTTACTTACTTACTTACTTACTTACTTACTTACTTACTTACTTACTTACTTACTTACTTACTTACTTACTTACTTACTTACTTACTTACCTTGGCAAGATTTCAAAAGCGGTTTGCCATTTCTTTCTTCCTAGGGCTGAGAGAGAGTGACTGGCCCCAGGTTGCCAGCTGGTTTCGTGCCCAAAGCAGGACTAGAACTCACAATTTCTGGTGGCTCAACCGTTACATCAGGCTGGCTCTGGCTTAATTTTAACAATGCCCATTCATTCTGCCAAAAGCTCTGAGAATACATGCATTGCGCTGTTATATGCCACTGTTTTTTGAATCAATAAAACTGAATCATAGTGAGCAGTCTCCCACAGCTACAAAGAAACCAAGATGAAACCCACATCCAGAACGGGAGGACAGGGCATAATGTCTCAAATAAAAGACAAATTAAAGCATTGCAAAATGTCATAAGCCATTCCCCAAAGCAATGAGGTTAAGCATAAACAGGTCAGATAAATCATAATCCAGCTCACTGAATAATCCCCTCAAGGGCCTGTGCATCAGAGTGCAAGAATACGAAGGTGGAAATTCAACCATAAATGGAAGCAGAATTTATATTCAAATCTGCGGATGCCCAAACTTCAGCCCTCGGAGCCCCAGGTCTGCAGGCCACAGCTGCAACTTAAGGTTTTCTTCCCTCCAGCCTGGCATTCCTTAAATCTCTCTTTTTAGAATCCTCTTACATGCTTGGGCCACGCAATACATTAAATCACAGTGTATTTTGTTAGCTTAGGTTAAGGCCTCATGTTTCACACACCATAATTTGTAAATGATGGCTAAGCATATCGTGCATTATTGAAGAAAACATGGTGAAACCAATGGCTATTTAGTCTACTGTATAAACCAGGTTATAACTGCAGTTCCTTGTAGGGGAACTGTTATATCCTTTGCATTTCCGGGAAAAAAAATCTCTACTAGGGCAGATTTTCTGACTTTCTTCTGGCCCACTATATGATGGGGGGGAGGGGGGAGGGGGACCATCTTGCATCCAAAAACCCCTCCCACTGTGGGTACCAGTAGCATTGGACATCAAGTGGACCCTAATTGATCTAGAAAAATTAAGGAGGGTCAGTCTTAATCAGGACAGAGCTACCAGATGCATCTGCAAAAGTCTGGATGACATGGAAGCCGAGAGATACAAAATCTATCTATATAAATAAAAATGTAAATGTTCATTTGTTCAAAATCTTAAATCTCCGAAAGTTTTTCACCGATTGCTTTGAAATTTTGACACAACGTTGCATTCGAATACGCGCGTGTTTTTATATACCTACTATTATATAGACGTCACACCTGTGACAGGTAAAAACATGGCTTTTTTTGAAAAACAGCGCCATCTGTTGGACGTAAAAACAACACACGCTTTTACCAGACTGAGCCACAGCAACGCGTGGCCGGGTACAGCTAGTAAATAAATAAATTCTTTGCTGCCCTCTATCAGTCGGCCCTATTTGGATGGGAGACCACGAGGAAATATCAGAGCGGTAAACTAGACTGGAAAGTTGAAAACAATGCTAATCGTATTGCTAGGATTACGCCATGGACGCGGTCATGACGGCGAGCCTGTCCCGAAGATTCAAAGGCTGCAGCTCTGCCTCCGGCGAGCAGCTTCGAAGGGATTTTTACGAGAGGAGAGCCCGAGAAAGCGAGCTCGGGAGCGGCAGAAGAGGCTGCCTGACGCCCTTCAGCCAACGTGCGCGACCACGGCGCAACAGCGCGCTCTTGTGGACACTCTGAGCATGCCAGGTCTGAAAGGTGGCATTTCGTCATCATCATCATCATTATCAGCAGCAGCAGCGAATATGACATTCCCCCCCCCCAGGAGAACCGATTGTGAGCTTTTATGATTCAGCTTCTGCATATTAATGTTCTATTGTTTGTCTCTCCCTTCCTTTTTTCCACAGCGCTTCTGTAAGGTGGAGTAGAGGAAGGAAGCCTCCGAGGAAGTACACTGTTGAGTAAAGGTTTGCTCCAGGCTTCCTTGCTGAGGTTGCCCAACCCTCCCCCGCGAAGACGTTGCCAATCTCTGCCTGCACGACCAGGTCTCTGCTCTGGAAAAGTCTCGTCCTCTAGTAGACATGTACATAGCAACGGGGGTCGATCAGAAAAAGTCGCTGGGAAGTCGCTTCCTTCTCACAGCCTGATTTGCTAAGTTGCAGCCTCCTTAAAAAAGAAAGAAAGAAAGAAAGAAAAATGCACAAACAGTATTTGCTTCATGGTTGTCATGGAACTTTATTTATGTGTTTAATTTCTCCCTCCTGTTCTAAAGATTTTGCCCCAATGTTTTCCAAAATCAGGAGCCTAGTTTCTGTTCTATAAGCCCTCTGTAGGCTTTGTATTATTTGTTATGACTTGGTCAAAACAATAAATAAATTGATTTAGTGGATGACCCTTCCTCTTACAGCAAATATAAACGGAATTAGTTATACACCCAATAATCGTGCCCTATTTTTGGAAATAGTCTTTGAAAAGACTTTTAAAGCTAAAGCTTACGTTGAAGTAGCCCATAATATCTTGGGGAGTGCATTTTATGCACTTCTGGACAAAGGAATGGCAGCAAAATGCTCAGATGAGCTCGGAAACAGTGAGGTGGCTTGGATTTTTCTCAACGTTTCTTGGGCAGGGTTTTATTTACTTGTTTATTTAATTTATTCCCCTCCCCATTTCTTAGAAAATGATTCTCGTAGCAAAGGGCTACAGCTTTCACAAGTGAATTTTGCTGTGTCAAGTCCTGCCCAGCCCAGTGTTTTTAGCAACACAATCTGGCAACCGTAGACTCAGAGGACAGTCAGTGACTTTGACAAGATGCAGCGGCTTGGCCTAATGGAGTGGGACAGGCCTTTGCTCCTTTTTCTGCTCCTCATGGCCTGGACGAGAGGTAAGGGCTTGTTTGTGCGTTTGAACTGTGGTGCCCTTAGTGCTCTCTGAGCTTGGTTGTTTTGTGGCAGATGTTTCCTTATCAAACTAGGTAACATCATTAGTGCTAGACATCACTAGCACTGATGATGTTACCTAGTTTTGTAATGAAACGTCTGCAGCAAAACAATCAAGATTAGTGATGCATTGAGGACCTCACAATGCTACCCAATGATCATCTTTTGAACAATGGGTGAGGGAACTATTTGGTGGGGAGGGGCTTTTCTGAACTGAATTACCCTCCCCAGAGTTTGTCAGGCTTGCGAGAGGTGCATCCGATACACATGGGCCCCAACTTTGTAGACTTGTGGAAAGGACAGAATGGACTATGAATCGAAAGTAGATAAGCGCTTCAGGAGAATACTTCCCCCAGATCTCTTGAAGCGTGTGATTGTACACAGTGACTACTGATTGCACAAATGCTATGTGTAATGTAGTGAACATGAGCTGCACGGTTCTTGAGGGAGTTTGAGGGGGCTCTCGAAATGACACCCCTCCCCATGGGAATCCATGGGCCTCCTGGCAAAGTGCAGCAGTTGCTTTGTATCAAGACTGCCCCTCCAATTTGGGTGTTGGTGTTAATTACACTTGCAGGGATCTGTCATAGCCCACTTGCCAAAGAGCAAGTGACCCAGTCCAGCTAGCTCCAGTGCAGCCTCTCTTCATCTGCTGGGAGGCTCAGAGATTGAAGCCGGGTCTGTAGGGCTGATCAAAACCAAATGGCTTCCATTCCCCTTGCTGGTTCTTAAAAGAGAAAAACAAAAACAAAGCAACTCTTGACCTAGGCACAGCTTGTTTAGTTTCTTAGTTTGTGTTTGTTTTCCAAGGTGTTGCCTGGAGTGTGTATAAGTGTGGGTGGGTGGGGAGGCAGTTTTTCTTGCTCTGCTCTTCCTATGCTAGCTCTGCCCTTTAACAGGCAGGTCATCTATTTGGATCTGTCCTCAGGCCCAGACTAATTAGGGGTCTCACTCCTTTGCCCCCCCCACCCCACCCAGGCTTAATTCCTTGATCTGGAGGAATCTACCTCCCCCATATTTTTTTTTCATTTGGAAGTTTTGGCAATCCTGGGTCTTACAAAAGCAGTTTCCCTGTTCCCCAAAGGGGGTTTCCTGTATTCTTTGTGACAATGGGACAGAGCCTCTGATTTCCCTGCCCTGATTTACACAGGAAATTAGTGCAGTGTTGGTGCTCTTGATTAGATTCTCAGAGGAGGAGAGAACTAGATGATCCAAAAGAAACTGGAGCAAACTTTTCCACCTTTCCCTAAGAAGGGGTGAATCCAAATGGAGCATTCTGAATCAAAATGATTAATAGCACCTGGTGGTGTTTTGGGTGGGAAAATGACGGCATAAATAATAGCAGAACAGCATAAAAATTATGTGGAAGAGGCAAGGCAATCACACCATAAAAATGGGTTCAAAGCAGTCAGGGAATATTTGCCTTTATTTCTCATTTAGCATTTTCTGAGTAATATTTGCTAGTTAACTCGACTCACAGCAGGCAGAGCATAAGAAACATTCTTCTTTTATTTCCTTCCCACCTGTAGATCCAAGCTTCGGAGCTGAAGGTAAGGAAACTTGCTTACCCCATATTTACTGGCCAGACACCAATGGCTTGAAAACAAGGTTGCTAGTGGCAGGACAAGAACAGCCTTTGATGTGTGACAGCTGTGAAAACAAAGCTGACTGCTCTTCATATAGACAAACATGGATTATAGCCAAGCATATGTATGTGAGTACATGTGCCACCAGATGGGCATATAGGCACCAGGGTGCCTCAAGGCTGCCTAGGGCTATAGCTTTACAAAATGTCCAGTGTTTGATTAAAACAATATGATTGCACCCTAGGAAATTTTTAGAATCCAATGATGGATGAGAGGAGGCCAAAAGCATTCTGGAGTCTTAATGAGCATGAAAATCTTTGTTCCGGAGGGGATTGTTGTGTAAGTCTGCTGAAGCAAAAGCAACAGAGAGCCCAGTGGCACCTTGGAGTATTAGTTATCACATATGAGCTCATCTGATACTCAGTGCATCCGTTTAAGGTGTTATAAGATTCCTTATTGTTTCTACCTTAACCCAAATAATTAACCACAAAAACGCAATAAAATAAACTAGAAATGGCAATAAAACACCAGCCAATTGTGCTATTTAAACTTAATTAAACTCTTCTTCCTATTCTTTCTATCTAAGTTTCATCTACTTTCTAATGTCTTTTAAATTTACTTTACTCATTTCTCAATTTAATTTTGTCTTTTTTTACCTGGCACCCAGATTTCCTCTATTATGGTTTCTGTCTTTACTACCAATCAACATAGATGTTAGCAGAGAATTATGGGTGCTGAATTCCAACATATCTGGAGCCTACAGAATGATAGAAATTTGATGTATTTGCTTAATCATGAAGAAAAAGACACACTCTACCTAGTAGCATAGCTTTCAAGGCAACTTAGTGCCAAATTAAACATTATAAAAATAAAACAAAAAAATCTGCAATATATCTAATTAGGTTTAAATTTATTAGGTTAAAAATACACTGTCACTTCACGAGGAATATCTGTTGTTGGCAACTGAGAACTGGGAATTCAGAGTAGTTAGGGAAAAGGCTTTTTTTTTCTTGACCTGAGAAGAAGCAGGAAGCATCTCACGTGATTAATAATAGGTTTCACTTCTTCTTTCCCCAGGCATGGAATTATTTTAGAGACATATAAAATAGAGAACTGCCTCTTGAATTTATCTTTTTTTTTTTTTTCAATTTTCCAGCTGTCCTCAGTTGATCATCTCCTCCCTGCTATTCTGCTAGATGCAATGCTCTTTCCCTTCAGTAGTGGGGCAGTTCTGAGATGCGAAGGCTCACGGGAGGAATCTTCACTCCAAGCCTTTGCTCCAGCACCAGGAGACCAGGACATCCTGGGGAAAAGAGATGCGGGCGATCCCAATTCAGACAGCATAATCAGAGGATTGCTTTATAATACAGCAGACATGGGCTACGCTTACACTCCCGCATACTCCAAAGCTTTATTTGGAGGGTGAATATGAAATGTTGCAGAATGGCAGAAAATGCCATCAAACCCTGGGCACATTCTGCCCATCTTGGTGGGCTGCTGTGGAAGAAAAAAGGGGTTAAGAACAGACTCTCTGAACCAATTGAGTCTTGCTTGATCAGCAAGCTCTTTGAGGGCTTGGGGGCTTTTGACCAGTCCTTTTACACCCAGCTCACCTAAAAACTACAATTCCTGACTTACATCTGACATATTTATACAAACACTTTATAGGAATTTGATTTAGAGGAGAAGAGTGCCACTATCTTTGCCTGTTTAGGGAATTTCCCTCATGATCTAAAAGCTGATATCCAGGATGGCAATGAGAGTAAAACCCCAACTGTTCAAAAGATAGTAAAATGAGATATAAAGGCAAATTCAGTACCAGGAAAGAAATATACTGAATCAGCACATCCTCCCTTAGTTTCAGGGTTCTGATGTTCAACTGCAGGGTTATGCTCAACAATCTATTTCAAATTGCTGGTGTCTTGCCAAGCAAGCCCTTGTGCACCTCGGGAGAGGGAGGGGCAAGCTCAGGTTTTTCATGCAGAAGGTTCCCAGTTCAGTCCTTGCTACCTCCAAGTGGGAAGGAAAACATTTCCTGTCCAAAACTTGGGAAACTTTTGCTGCTCTTCAGTGTTATAGACCAGTGTCTGAATTGGGGCATTTCAAGAGAAAAGGCTGCCAATCAGCTGCAGTTCAAACCGCAATTCACAATCTGCAGCCAGAGATTCTGTTGTTTTTCTCACCTGGCTCTATTCTTTCCATAGCCTCGTTAGCAGACTATCCTTTTCATTAAAATTTCTTCTTTGCTTGCCGAGAGATTTTCAGTGCTGTAATCAGAATTCTGGTTTTTGCTCACTATATCGCCTCTGTGTCTGCTATGTGGAAGCTGTAGCATTTTGGTTCCTAAAACCTTGGGCAGAAGATTATTTTCTCATTTTTATGTATCAGTAATAAAAGCCCAAATAGTTGAGATGGATTATCACAGCACAATTTCATTTGTTCAAAACAAGATTAGAAAATGTCAATTAAGCTTGCCACTGGATAGCAAATGGGCTAAGTGATTTACTGATTCCTTCTGAGAATAACAGATTTCTTTAGTCAACTCCACAAATAAGTCTTATAAAAAAGCCTGATGGTTACTAATTATTTTTACTATGCCAGCTGAATTTTCTCTGTTTATGTAGCTATATGTTTATTTATTTTAACCTCCGAAGAACCATACAGAATCCTAAAAATCAGGCCATCCTATATGAATTGAGGGAATTTGCCCCTTTTCTTCCCCAGCTATGTTGGTGTATAAATGTTTTGCTGAGGTAACAAAACAGGATCGTTGTTTCACTTTTGTGCAAATTCCTTTTTCAACAGGAAACGTAGAGTGTTGCCAAAATCAATACATAAAGCATCCCTTTTTTATTTTCCCCCAATACTATTAATTAATTAATTGGTTTAGAATTGCATAAGTAGTTTTGAAAAGGAGAAAGGATGTGTAAAATCTTTTCCTTAAGGAGGAAAAATATTTCCTGTGGGTAATAATTTTATTGAAACTAAGTAAAATTAATACAACTGAGCCTGCGCGTTTTAGCTCCCTAGAATAGTCCAATAGACCTTCAGGTTTTCTATATAATTTTATATCCTATCATTGAAGAACAGGTTTTTAGATTTTTTCCCATGGATCATGAATCTGTGTTCACTAAATATAATTTAACTATAATTCATTGAAAGACATTGTTTTCAGGAAAGAAGGATTTTTTTTTTAAAGGCTTGCTGAGATTAGTGCAGGAGTAGGCAACCTTGGCTCTTGTATGACTCGTGGACTTCAACTCCCAGAATTCCTGAGCCAGCCATGCTGGCTCAGGAATTCTGGGAGTTGAAGTCCACGAGTCATAAAAGAGCCAAGGTTGCCTACCCCTGGATTAGTGCAAGGCTTTTGCAAACCCATTACTGTGCAAATGTTCTTGACTATACCTCCCACCGTTCTCAGCCAGCATTGTAAATTGTTATCCAGCACATTCAGAAAGCTTGGAGAAGGATGATCTGTAATAAAGGCAAAGCTCGATGTGTTTTTGGATCTTCTTAAACCATTTCTGCTTACTTTCTACATTGCAACAAATATTTGTTCAAACTTTCTCCTGCAGTGCGTGAATGTGTTCCCACGCTATTAACAAAACAGCTCTCCTAAATTTGGGGGGGTCTCACGATGACTTTAGGAATTTAGGAGCATATTTCTTTATATGCTAAGTGAAGAACTTGTTCAGAAGGATAAAAGCAACAGGAGAAAAAATACAGGAAAAATATAGGCAATCACTGGAGTCCTGCCTTAGAGGGCATAAATGTTTCATAACTGGGGAGGCAAGTAGCAGGAGATAAGGAGAATATTAAAGCATCCTTCAGGAACCAGTTTTCCCATTGTGCCTAAGAGGACCCCCTATGTTTCAGGGGTATTCACATGATGTGGATAAAATGTGAAGATGGTGGCCGTGACAATGTGGTTGAATATGTATGAATTCCTTCAATCATGTTTTTACACCCATCATCTTGTTTTTTTTCAATCATACCTCATTGACATTCCTGCTATATTTTTTGCTTATGGTAGAAAACATACCTTACATTTCGGAAGAGAGTATGCTGGGCAGGAGCTCGACAAATAACACCATAAAATAAATTGTAGGTTCTTAACAGGAGAATTGAGGAACCTTCCAGATGTAACTAAACTACAGCTCTTGACAAGCCTCACTACTGGCCATTGTAATCCAGCTGTAGGAGGGTCAGAGGTTCCCTATTTCTGCTTAGTCATCTCATTGTTCTTAAATATTGAATATGAATTTTTTTGAGTCAAAACATAAAAAAAATGCAAAAGTAATGCAGAGGATAAAGTAGCTCCTCTTTATTAAATTAGAAATAAATTCATTTTTATTTAAAAAATAAACTTTATTTAGAAATAAATAATTGAAGACAAAAGAATCTTTTATTAGCAAGGATTTTTTTAAATTTTCTTTCTTTTTGTTCAATTATTTATTTTTATGTATTTTCCATTATTATAGAACTCAAGAAGTTTACAATCCACAGTTAAAATGCAAGAAAGTATCAGTAGATTAAAACACTGCAAAAATAGCACCTTCAGTTAAAAAAGAGAGGGAATGAAGGAGAATCAAACAAAAAACACCATAAAACACCAGAGTTCCCCCAATCTTTCGGGGTTGGCGGCCTGGAGCAGGGGGAAAGAAGGGATGGGTAGGGTGAATGCATGTGCGTGCACAAACACCCATTGCTTACCTGAATGGGGCCATGAGCGCTCACACGAGTGGAGCCACGAATGCCCTCAATGCTTCTGGTGACACTTGTGCGAATGGGGCCATGAATGACCACACCGCTTGTGGCGATGCTGTTGCGAGCAGTGACGTTCGTGCAAATGGGGCTGTGCACATGCACACATGCACACCAGCCAGCCACTCATGCAGCCTGGTGGCCAATAGGCTGTGGCCCAGTAGGGGGCCGCAGCCCACAGGTTGGGGACCCCTGCTAGACACGCAAGGCTGGATGAAGAAATAGATGCTTCATGAATTTCATCAGGAAGAGCATTCCAGACCAAAGTCGCTATTAAGGAGAAGCTCCTAGTTCTTAGCAGATGGTCCTTGCTATCATTAATGGTGACATAAAATCAACATTCTCCTGCCGATCCTTCTCTTAGCTGTAATGTTTAGAGACCTTCCTAAAAGGGTGGAACTGGAAGACAGTGCGGAACCAAATTCACCTGTGACTACCATAGCTGCCTATTGTACAACCTCAATCTATGATGTGCCTCATATATCCCTGAAGAGCATCTACCCGGTTTCCTCTTTTTTCAACCCTCCAATCACCTTATCCACCGGCAACTATCAGGTAAACAAGATAATATAGTCAGCCCAATATATCTTAGAATGATTTTTGAGGAATAGTATTTGTCTTGATGGCCAAGCAAATGCTAAATGATACGGGGAATTTTTGTAATAATTTACAAACAATTTGGACTCCTGCTACTATGTGTTTCAGCTTCCTTCAACCACATGCGCTCTGAAGCTTTAAGATTACAATTTGGAGAATCCCAGATAAAAGTGGTAATGGTCCAACAAATCTGAGGGCTCAGGTTTGAGGGCAACTAGAAGACAAAGTTGGAAAAGGGATTGTGGTTCTGTTGCTCCGATGCAGAACAGGAGTGGTGGGTTTAGTAAAGAATATCTCATCCAAAGCTGAGAAGGTCTTAGGAAGGGCTTTATTTATGATGTTATCAATGGATGATGGTAATCTAAATAAGAACTTCATCATTTGTGGCATCTTCACTTTAGAACTCTCTATGTTTGATGCTCATGAAGTAGTTCTCAAGAGTACACTTTATGAATTAAGATATTTATTTATTCAGGTGAGGTTTTGATAGGTTCACTGCTGACTATGGCATTTGATTATATGGTTTTCTTTGCAATTCTTGGTTTTATATTTTATATTCATTCTGTAAATCATTTTGCAGTACTTGATGAAGAGTGGTGTACATATTAACAATAAACTAGAAGAACTGAAAGGATGAAATATAAGGTTAATAAAAACGTCATCATCCCAGAGCTCCTAAGAAGGGAGACTGAAAATGGTTTCTACCAAAAACTCTGGAATGAGGAAATAGACTAACCACCAATTCCACAGAGTTGTGTGTTCTTTTTAATTTAAAAAGATCACTTTTACTGTGGACTCAAACACCACATTGCTGAGTTAGCAATAAGTTGGCTAAGCCCTCAGACACAGCTGATGTTAAGAAATTATTGAGATCCAGGGTTGCTTTTTGAAGTGGCTGACAGTCCTTTGGTGGAGATACCCTCAGAGATGGACAGGGGAGGGAAGTGGTTGGTGGACAACACTATGTTCTAATGCTTACTTAAGAATCAAACCAGAGAAATTTTGGGCCCCTGAATAGTAAAATAAATAGGATAGTTTAAATTTAAATATTTGAAAAATTAATAAAGTCTAAAATAGGATCTTTGGGATAGATAATGAGCTTTTGTAAATGTTTATTGATTAATGAAATTCATATCCAGCGATATATTTAATGAAAATTTGTGTTAGAAATGTACTAATGAGATTACAATCATTTAAATAGATAGTTTAGATTTAAGCATTTAATTTATATGTAGCGATATATTAATGAATGAATTGGTTTTGGGATTGTACTAATTTGATTATTATATTGATATTGAGCGGTTGAAAGTTTTTATTGATTAAGGGAACTTATATTTAGATATATTAATGAATGAATTTATTTGAATCTACTTGATTATAATATTCTGCATAGATAGAGAGGGAAATTTTAAGAAGCATTGTGTGAATTGTATATTTATAATGTTATTGTTTCTTTTGCAATTGACTACCATATCTCCACATTGGCTCTTAAGCTTCTGTTGGTGTAAAATGGAAAACTAATAAAAATTGTTGTTTTTTTTTAAAAAAGAATCAAACCAAGGCTTTTTTTTTTATTCCCAGTTGACACTTAGTCCCAGTGCTGCTCTAGATGCTAGAGTGGTGAACCTGTACACCTTAACATTCACTGCAAATTGTGGAATAAGGACAAAAGTTGCTCAACTCTTTGTTCAAGTTAATGAAGCAAAGAGATTAGTGTGTAATAAAGGATATACTGACATAGGTAAGAATGCTTCAGCTTCCTTGATTAAGTTAGTTTTGGCACATTCAGCAAAAGATAAAAGTGCTTTAATGAAGAACATTTTAATGTAGTAGAGTTGGATGAGATGGGGATTAGTCAGTAGGCAGTGGGATGCGTTGAATTTTCCATCAACATGGAGCAGATCTTGACTAGCACAGGGTAGCAAAATATTATTTTGACCAAGAATAGAAGAGAGTAGAGTAGTGGTAGAAGAATTGCCCAAAGGGTCTCATAATCCTGAAATGAGGGACTGTTCAATCTCAGCTTGCCCATGTTGCCATGTTCAATTCACTACTATGTTAATTTTTTTCTCCATCTCTCATATATCATAGGACGGCCGTCTATACAAGTTTCAGAGGACGTTCGACCTGGAGAAACAATCTTCACAACTGTTTTGACGAGGCGGGGCACAGGCAGACTGACCGTAAGTGCAGTGGTTGGGAGAAAAAGCAGGAATGTGCTGGAGAAAAGCTCTGTGATCACAAGAAGGGACAAATTGTTATGCACAAATGGGAGGAGGAATTTTTGTGGATCATCTGAGAGGAGGTGATCATCTGGGGGGAGCTGGCATTTTGAAGAGTGACTCAGACAGGGTGAGAATCAGTGGCTGGGCAACAGGTGCAGGGTATTGTCTACTTTATAATCTCCACATTGTCTTTCCTTCTCACAGTTCAACATTGAGGATTCTTCCTTACCTTTTGTCATAACTTCAGAAGGAATCCTGCGGGCACCTGCGACAGGTTTCACTCGTGAACAAGCTGGCAAAGTATATGCTATTGTTTGCGTTGCACATATATCTGCTTAGCATCCTACTGAAATAGTGGGAATCCATTCAAGACATGTTATTCCTTGGCTCTCGGTCATATCCCAAACAATCCCAAGGAGAATTGTATGCCTGCAGAGAGCTTCTGTTGTTCTCATCAGCATTTTGCCACTAGACTTTGATTTCCACATGTCTCATTTCAGGCCTTTGGACTTTTCTAATTGCATAGTTCCTAATAATTTCAGGGAATTATCTGTTTCTAAGGCTTCTGTGGAACTGTAGGCTTCTTCACTGGGCCTCTTGGATTCAGCTAACTTTTCCTGTATTGCCCCTGCAGACATTCTCACTAAAAATTGCGGTCACTGATGGTGCTTCAAGAAGTTGCAAAGTGCCTCTGTCTATCCAGGTGAACCCTGTTCACCATAACAAAGTCAGTTTCACGTGAGTTGGAGAATTGGGGGTGGGGAGAAAGATATGGTGATATTTAGATGTGCACATTGGGTTGCCAACAAATTGGTAGAGCCAAGACATCCTGCTCTCCCATTATATCCTTGAAAGGCATACAGTACTCCACAATCCCTTGCAATGAATGGCACAGAATTGGAATTACGTTAGAGAATAATTATCACTTCAGATCTGGTCACATGAAATCCCACTTAATCTTATAGTATAATCTCAGAATCCTCTATGATACCAAGTCCTTGACTTATGAACACCATTGAGCCCCAATTTTCCATTGCTAAGCAATGGAGTTTTTCCTTTCTTGCTACATGTGTTAAATCACTGCAGTTGTTAATAACATGGTTGTTAAGTGAATCTGGCTTTCCCATTGACTTGGCTTGTCAGAAGGTCACAAAAGGTGATCACATGACCCAGCGACATTGCAACCATTATAAATACATGCCAGTTGCCAAGCAACCAAATACTGATCACGTGAACACGGGGATGCTGCTGTAAGTGTGAAAACTGGTCATAAATCACTTTTTTCAATGCCATTATAATTTTTAATGGTTACTAAATAAATGGTTGTAAGTTGAAGATTATATGTATTGGAATTTGAAGATGCACTGCTCAAAATGATGCTTTGCTGGGACCTCTGAAAATGCTGTCTGCTCAATCATGCACGGCCTGAGTTAGGGCTACTTGTTACTAATGAAAACCCCAGCACATGAGGAATCATCTATGCTCCATCCATCGTACATGGCTTATACCCTTCTCTGGAGAAAGAATTAGAACAGCCAAAGCTTGAATCAAGCTGCACACTTCTGGAACTCCTGGGATGTTATGTTTTCTACTGAGATTTCTGAAATCCCTGCAATGAACACAAAATTGTAGATCTAAAATTTATTGTAGAAAGGGGATGAGGAGATTTGATCCTCTTTCTGTTGTCTAGTACAGTATAAGAATACGTTTCCTGACTCTTCTACCTCATAGCTCTAGGACACATAGATTGAACAGACTGGAGTATGATCCATACTTGTAGTTCAACGAAATACCATTACATTAACCAGATATATTTGGAACTTTTAGGAAGACATGCATGGGGACAGATTTCTTTCAGGATATATCCCCATCAATATTTATATTTTTGTGCCCATGTAAACCATTAAACTATTTGTTTTACTTTAAGTAGGCAGAGCAAACAGTATTGTGTTCAATGGACTCTTGATTCAGAAAGAGTTATTTATACCTTTGTCTTCATGATTCAGGGAATCATCAGTTGCACGTTCAATACGGGAAAATGTACCACCTTTGTCCGACATTGTACAGGTTCACGCAAGTGGGGACAATGTGCTCTACCAGATCATCTCCCCAAGCACAAACTCTTTTACCATTGACCCAGGTAATGAAAGCCCCAGGTAAGCCATAGCATCCACCCCATCTCAGGAAGTCTCTAATAGCTAGCTATACTGATTTTCAATTCCCAGTCCTCCTGCCTTCAAGAGGCTGAGAATCAATCTTTCTTCATTATACTGCCTCCAGGGGAGGTATGGTGAATTGAAGACAGCTCTGTAAAAGCAACAAAAGTAAAAAATAAGTGGTAAAGACCTCTCCAGATAAGGAGAGGACAGGATTGCCCATATGTGCTCCAATGGCTGCTCCCCACAAGGAGACTGCAGGACAGCTGTTTTCGGTGCGTTTGAGCCTCAGGAGATGACAGGGTTGCCAGGTCTGCTTCCAAAAATATGCGGACAAGTGGGGGGGGGTGTTAAGTAGTAAAAAAAAGTAGACTGTACAGCTTTAGATTACGTACCATTTCATCATAAAGCTTTTGAATAAAAAAGTGTCCACTATTTTGTGAAAAAAAAATAGTGAACATAATGTGAAAAAAGCGGACTGTCCGCTCAAATAGTGGACACCTGGCAACCCTAATAAATAATCTTGCTTACAACTATGGAAGAGCTTTTAAAGGACACTAAGTTTCTAATTACTTTGGAATTTGCCTACGCATTCCTTACAGCCCCAACTGAGTCTAAAATTTTCTTTATTAAGCAAGACAGTTGTGGAGTTTTGCCCTATTTTATGACCTTTCTTGTCACTGTTGTTAATCATTGCAATTGTTAAATTAGTAACATGGTTGTTACATGAATCTGGCTTCCCCATTGGCTTGTCAGAAAGTCACAAAATGTGATCACATGACCCTAGGACACTGCAACAGTCCTAAATACATGCCAGTTGCCAAGGGCTGAATTTTGATCACATGGCGATGCTGCAATGGTCATAATTGTGAAAAACGATCATAAGTCATTTTTTTCAGTGCTGTTGTAATTTTGAATGGTCATTAAATGATGGTAAGTTGAAGGACTATCTGTATAAACTATTCTAAAGCTATTAGAGACCTTTGGAATGACAGGTCTGAAGTCTTCATCAGGAAAAATTATCTTCAACTCTGAACAAAAGAAAAATTAATTACAAGCTTAAGAATTTGAAATAAACAGCAAAAAGCTAAATAAGATTTTGATCTAAGAAAGTTATAAGTGGATTAAGGGTCAAGATAAATTTGGAGTATTGACTTTTTCTATAAGATTTTTGAATTAACTATAAAAAATAACCTCTTGTAAGAAATATAATTATTTTGGTTATTATGGCAACTGCAAGTGAGATAAAAGATAAGTGATGAGTTAAAGGAAGTTATAGATTTGTTAGATTAATAGTTGATTAATGTTAGTTAGATTATGATTATTTTATTGTTAATCCTGTGATTGGCTCTGGGAAGTGAGGGGGGAGAGGGAGGGAGGGTTGGGTTTGGGGGGAGGGGGGATTTATATTGTAAAATGTTATAAAATTTTCAATTAAAAAAAAAGATAAGTGATGAGTTTAGAAACTAGACACAGTGACTAGAGGGAACTAAAGATTTTAAGCAGCAGATGAAAAATACTAATGCTAATTAATACTGGGACTTACAAAATGATACAAAATATTATAACATCAGAAATATTGAAGGAGATCTTTGAAGAATAGATCCATAAATTAAGTAACTACAGTATCAATAGTGTCAGTAATAAAGTCTGCTTTCATAGGTGTTCTGAGGAACAGATTTCATCTAATAAGACATGGTAGAGAATGTGGAACTACAAATGACAGACCAAGAGAACAATTTTGAATAGGTCATTATACTGGATATACCAAAGAAACTGACTGAAGTTTTTTTTTTTTTAAAAAAAAGGAAAATACAGATGATGAACCAAGAGAATCATTTGAAAAATATTTTCTTATTGGATCTACAAGAGGCTTGTTAAAGCCTTGAAGAAAACTTGGTCATAGGATAAAGGAGAATTGAAGAGAAATAAAATCCTAGAACAATAATTGATTGAATTATTAGAAGTCAAAGGAAAGAATATAAAATTGTTTATATAATCAAGGTTAAAATTAATTTTTTTGTAATGTTCTGGCACCCTTTATGGGCTTTTTGCTGACACCAGGGTTGAAAAGTTGTTGTTGGGTTTTTTAATAAATTTGCATATAGCTAAGGGATGGGATATGAGATGAAGAGATATGTGTTTATAGACGTTGAAGAGTTATTAAATATATTTGTTGTGAGGAAGGTTGGAAGTCACTTCATCTTCATTTCTTTTCTTTTTCCTCATTATATTTTCTTTGCTTTTCTTCTTTCTTTTTCTTTTTTACTGCACTTTTATTCTTACTTTCCATTCTTTTCTCTTTCTCTAAGTTTAGTTTGTATTAATTTTTCCAACTGTAATTAAATTTCTTGATAAAGTAGTATTTTTTAATTATACAGTTTCAGGTATCATCAAGACCACTTACTACTTAGATCTGAAACGCAATCCAAGCTTAGCCAACACCCAGCTGGAGGTGAAAGCTTATGATATACTCAATCATGCTGATCATGCCAGCATCATTGTCAACATTACTGTGAAACAGGAGAACTTGGAAGGACCCCTGTGTTCTCCTGCTGTGTTTGTGTAAGTCTCTGCAAAGGAAATTGTGGTAGCTTGAGCCAAGAAAACATAGAGTAATAGAGTCAATTTGAGGATGTCTAACTTTCTGCATAGGGATGCATGTGTGGTAGATTTAGGTGATTAGGAGGACTACTATTTCTGAAGTGAGAAATATAGAAGTTAGATTGCTAAGTGGGAAGAGAGTTTGGGATTGCTTAAAGATAAATAGATACAGGTAAATTCCTTAGCCAATTAAAGATCAGCTCCAGGGACTGTGGTGGCTTTGACTGCATAATCACTGCATAATTTACTTGGACTTCAGTAAGGCATTTGACAAAGTAGATCACAACCTACTACTTGATAAGATAGAAAAATGCGGGTTAGACAGCATCACCACCAGATGGATCCGTAGCTGGCTGACTGGCCATACTCAGCGTGTGGTCCTCAATGGAACCACATCTACATGGAGGGAAGTGTGTAGTGGGGTGCCCCAGGGCTCTGTTCTGGGCCCAGTGCTCTTCAACATCTTCATCAACGATCTGGATGAGGGGATAGATGGGGAACTCATCAAATTTGCAGATGACATCAAGCTGGCAGGAATAGCCAACACTCCAGAAGAAAGGCTTAGGATACAGGAAGATCTGGACATACTTGAACACTGGGCGCTATCTAACAAAATGAAATTCAATGGTGAAAAAAGTAAGGTTCTACATTTAGGCAAGAAAAACCAAATGTACAAGTATAGTATAGGGGGTACCTTGCTCAATAATAGTAACTGTGAGAGGGATCTCGGAGTCCTAATGGACAATCATTTAAATATGAGCCAGCAGTGTGCTGCAGCTGCCAAAAAAGCCAACACAGTGCTAGGCTGCATTAACAGAGGAATAGAATCAAGATCACGTGAAGTATTAATACCACTTTACAATGCCTTGGTAAGGCCACACTTGGAATACTGCATCCAGTTTTGGTCACCACGATGTAAAAAAGATGTTAAGACTCTAGAAAAAGTACAGAGAAGAGCAACAAAGATGATTAAGGGACTAGAGGCTAAAACATATAAGGAACGGTTGCTGGAATTGGGTATGTCTAGTTTAATGAAGAAAAGGATGAGGGGGGACATGATAGCAGTGTTCCAATATCTCAGGGGCTGCCCCAAAGAAGAGGGAGTCAAGCTATTTTCCAAAGCGCCTGAAGGCAGGACAAGAAGCAACGGGTGGAAACTAACCAAAGAGAGAAGCAACCTAGAACTAAGGAGAAACTTCATGACAGTTAGAACAATTAACCAGTGGAACAACCTGCCTCCAGAAGCGGTGAATGCTCCAACACTGGAAGTTTTTAAGAAGAAACTGGACAGCCATTTGGCCGAAATGGTATAGGGTTTCCTGCCTGAGCAGGGGGTTGGACTAGATGACCTCCAAGGTACCTTCCAACTTTATCATCATCATCATCATCATCATCATCATCATCATCATCATCATCATCATCATCATCATCATTATTATTATTATTATTATTATTATTATTATTATTATTATTATTATTATTATTATTATTATTATTATTATTATTATTATCCAACAAATCTGGAAGTCATGCAAGTTAAGGAACAGTGGGATAATGCTTTGGAGAAATCAGAACCCAAGGAAATCAGAACCTTCTACCTCTTGTGATTATTTTTGCTTAATTCCAGAACTGAAGTTCCAGAGAACATTTCCGTTGGGAGGACCATTTTGTCTCTGTCTTGCTATGATCGAGAGAGTATGAATAGCAGCTTGAAGTACAATATAGTTGACCAGAATCCACCTTATAGCTTTAAAATGAATGGCCCAAATTTGCAGGTGAGCCAGTTGCTAGGTATATATCAGGTAAGGCTTGAGTAAATTCCTCCACATCAATTCGTGTGAGCGGTACTAAAAATCTACATTTAAATGCACAGTACATCTAAACCTCAAAGGGACACTGAATTCCCATTTAGATTTTGGTGCTTTAGGGACCCTGATTTGAGCTTTGGATCTTAGTTGATGAAAGATCTCTCTTTTTGTAGAAGATACTATAAGCTTTTCTGTCATGGGTTAATAACTAAAGGTAACCTCTGTCTTCTTTCTCCTGATTTTTCTATCCTATGGTCTGACAGGTAAATAGCAGTTTGGACTATGATTCAGAAAGTATGGCCACTCTTAACTTTCAGTACCAGGCTACCATTTTAGTGATAGATGAAGGAAGTCCTGCACAAACCAGTAAGTACCACATTGCTAAAAAGCACTATTTGAAGTTTGTTATTCCTGGATATTGATGAAGTCAGTTGAAACCTGGCAGAATTCTAGGACTAGAAGACATCTCCCTCAAATGTTGGGACCATGGATGCATAAATAGCCATTTGAAATTTGTTGATGAAAATAAATTTAGAATGTTTATCATTGTTGTCAGACCTGGAGAAAAGTATTACTAATGTAATAGAAAAGTATGACTAATGTAATGTAATTTTATGCAGAAAAGCAAACCTAACATATATTATTGTGCAATTTCGTGCCCTTCATATAAAATATAAAATAAAATAAAATGAAACTCTGGATCAAGATAGTCAAGATTACAGACCACGTTACTAAAAATATTTTTTTTTCCTAAATAAGAATTGTCCTCAAAATTCTTTAAGCATGAGAAGTAAAAGGTCAAAACTTGTTTGAATTGAGCTTCACATTTAGCAACTACAATGTCATGTAATTTTCTTGATAAACAATTTCCTGTTTTCATAGTCATTGAAAATGATCACACTTTTTTCCCCAGAAGTATTGGAAGTAAAAGAGGGCAATTATTAGTTTGCATAGAAGCAGTTATCAGCATATTAATGTAAAGGCATCTAAGAGACCAAAGGAAGCAACTGAAAAACAGCGGTTGGTTGAGACTGACTGGAGACAATTGCTAAGTAAATTTGTGATAGGCAAACAACAGCTACCCGTGATCTGTGTCCTCCCCCATAGAAAGCAGATCAATCAGAAAGCCCAGGGTAGACTACCAAAATGCATGTTTGACAAATCCATCAAAAAATGAATACAATTGAAATAATAAAATTATACCAAATGGGAAATGTTACAGAGGCTATTTAATACAACTGTAAGTATCCTAGAAGTATTAGAATAATTCTTTTCCCAATGGAACATGACTATTACTTTTAGGGCAGTCCACTTAAAAGTCATATACAAGTTCAGCAAATTTAGCAGAATGGCAGAATATAAAAGAATCAAGCTCTTATATGGTAGGGTGGCTGTTGTGATGCAAATTAATGTGATGCATTAACAGAGGGATAGAGTCAAGATCACGTGAGGTGTTAATACCACTTTACAATGTCTTGGTAAGGCCACACTTGGAATACTGCATCCAGTTTTGGTCACCACAATGTAAAAGAGATGTTGAGACTCTAGAAAGAGTACAGAGAAGAGCAACAAAGATGATTAGGGGACTGGAGGCTAAAACACATAAGGAACGGTTGCTGGAATTGGGTATGTCTAGTTTAATGAAGAGAAGGACGAGGGGGGACATGATAGCAGTGTTCCAATATCTCAGGGGTTGCCACAAAGAAGAGGGAGTCAAGCTATTCTCCAAAGCACCTGAAGGCAGGACAAGAAGCAACGGATGGAAACTAATCAAGGAGAGAAGCAACCTAGAACTAAGGAGAAACTTCCTGAGAGAACAATTAACCAGTGGAACAACCTGCCTCCAGAAGCGGTGAATGTTCCAACACTGGAAGTTTTTAAGAAGAGACTGGACAGCCATTTGTCTGAAATGGTATAGAGTTTCCTGCCTGAGCAGGGGGTTGGACTAGATGACCTGCATGGTCCCTTCCAATTTATTATTATTGTTGTTATTGTTATTAGTGTTGTGTTGTTATTATTATGTTCTAACCATATTAAGCCAACGTATGAATCTTCCTAAAGATATGCCTACTCATCCTCTATGTGATGGTGCTTAGCTGTATATAGGCCTACCTCATGGGTCTCTAGTATGGATTCCAGAGTGGGAATGTGGCCACAGACATCTCATTTTGTGGCTGCCAGGCATCATATCTTACCTGATCTTATTTTTATTTTTAGATTTCTTAAAAAAATCAAGGTGCCGTGGTTCAGACCAAAACACCCGCCTCAAGCATTATCTTTGTTTCCAGCAGTGTTTCTGAACTTCACTATACCCCAGAGGCATTGGAAATGACAAATGATTTGGTAGCTATAGCCAGTGTTTTGTTTGGCAGTAGGCCCAGCTGCCCAGAAAAAATAAAGACAGATGTAAGGTGAAATGGTAGAGATGAGGTAGCAGGAGTTAATCTCGTTAGCTTGCTTTCCAGTAAATTGCCTTTTTCTCACTAGTTGTTCCATAGTACCTATTTTATGAAAATGCTCGTGGTAGGTTCTCAAAATTCCAAATATATTGTAGGCCCCAAAAGATGGGGGATCACAGGTCTATCCCCAATCACGTATGATTAAGGACCAACTTTCCAGTGAAATGGACAAAGGAGTGTGACTTACACCCCCATATGTATAGAGAATTACGGAGTTGGCCCAGGAAGGCAGAAAAGTATGCCAAGGAAACCCAAGAGTGACTGTCTTTGATATAAGAGAGACAGAAGGAGAAATCCTGTCAATCTTTTGAGATTGTGTTCTTATAGCCTATATATAGAGAGAGTTATAGTATTTCTTGTGGTTGATTCCTGACTGTCTGCCTTTAAGAACCAACACACTGTGAAAAGTACCTAGAAGGAGATATCACTGGGAGATAAGCAGATGATAGATTCTCACTTAGTCTTATCCCTGCTTTCCTCTAAAAATCAAATCACCCACTTGATTGGCAAACCTAGCTGAAAACCTTCTGGTCTGTAGCCTTCATGTGTTATTTGAGCTTTGCTTGTTTTCTGTAATTATGTAGGTTAGGCACTTAGTTACTTGCCGATTACAAAGTGCTTGCTGGAATTTTGTCATCATATACGCTTTCTGGGTTTCTTTCTTTATCTTGCAGCCACTGTACCTGTGCTGGTGACAGTAAGACGAGTGAATGAATTCTCCCCAAAGTGCTCGAAACTGGTGTTCAGTGTACCAGAGAATACTGTGTATGGATACAGCATTGGCAATGTCAATGGCACTGACCAAGACTATCCATTCAATAACATTGAATACAGTATAATGGATGCAGATGCTGGAGTTTTCTACATCACCACCTATACAGGTAAGGTAATGGTGGGTTTGTTTGGCAGGGCCTCCCCAAGCTTTATTTACCGAACAGCTTAAGGATCTTCCTTCACTCATTTAGTTACTTGCCTGAATCTGATTGCCTCAGAACTACCTCAGGTGGAATACAGCAGTACACTGATCTCCCATCTTTAGAACTGAAGTATGTTTAGCAACTGTATGAGGAAGGCTGGCTCCAAACTCGGTAAAATATAGCATAGGCACTACTATACCTTTTAGGACAAACAATTCCTAAAGAAGAAAATGAAGTTTGCAAAAAATAATTAGTTAAAAGACAGAAGCCCACAGAGTTTTCCAGTTTATTGGACAGAATGTCAAATAGCTTAATTATGAAGGAGAAAGAAAAGAAAAGAAAAGAAAAAGAAAGAAAGGAGGGAGGGAGGGAGGGAGGGAGGAAGGAAGGAAGATTCTTGACCATTGTTCATGTTTCTTTCTTTCTCTGCTTTTGCCTGCCTTCCACCCCAGCTTTCCAGTTAAATGTTTTGATACTTTCTATGTATAATAAATAAGCACCAACTATATTTTTGCTAGCTGAACTGAGTGGCATGTGGATATAGAGATTGATGAGGAGTAGGCTGGGTCTGGATGCAGATTAAACTGGAAATTACCCAGAATAGTTTTATAATATGTCACAGGTCAGCTGCATGTACTTTTGCCCTTGGATTATGAAGTCCAGAAAGTGTATCATCTGCCTGTCATTCTAAAAGACCTGGAGAACGAAGCAGCTCCTGGCACCCAGAGAACAACAACATGTAATGTCACGATTTATGTGCAGGTAATTTGAAAACAGAAGAGAAGCTACAGTATGTTGATACAGAGCATTGACTACCCCCCCCCCCCCCGTGCACCATAAATTATATCCCCCAGATCAAGCAGTTGATAAGTGAGATGGCTGGGGAACTCTGACTTTTATGCTGGATTCCCACCACACTTGATAGCCCCTGAAACTCTGCTGAACAATTCAGCAGCAGCAGATACCAAACCCACAGCTTTTGGAGACATTATTTTTTGGGGGGGGGGAGAAGGAATGTGCATATCTCTACGGATATGTGTGTTTGAATAAAGACAATATTAAGTTTATTAAATGTTTTACCCTAACCCTAACAAAGAAAAACCAAAACAAGACAACATGTTCAGCTCTAGCCTATGTAGCAACATGACTAGATGTTCCCCCAGTTTTTAAAAATGGGGGTACAGCCACTCTGTTTACAGAAAGGTTGGCCAGTCTTGTGCTAGGAAAAGCTGAGCTTTGAACAGTCTCCTTGTCCTATGATTTACAATTACTCATCTGCTGTGTGGTTAGTGGGGCCTATAGGTACATGTATCCTGTGTTATATATTCGTATCTTCCCACTTCTGCTCTTTAATGGTGCATTTTATCGGTTTTCGGGTTATCTCTCTTCTAAAATGTCCTGCAAGGAGAAACATGGCCTGTTGTCCTACCTATTGCTATAAAGGTGCCTTTCTGTTGGTCTTTTCTGTTAGAAACCCGATGCCTTGAAAACAGAAATTGCATGGATATTTTTTTTATTTTATACAAGTGGGAATAGGGAGAGATCAGTTATACAGCAGCCAAATTGGTGCCTTCTAGATGCACTGGACTTACTGCCCATTCTCCCACAATCCCTAGGCTAGGGGTAGGCAACCTTGGCTCTTTTATGACTCGTGGACTTCAATTCCCAGAATTCCTGAGCCAGCTGGTCACTAAACAAATGGTTGTATGTCAGGGACTACCTATATTGTAACCTCATCTGGCAAATAACCAACTGCAGAAAGTTTTACTTTTTCAGCCCAAAATCACTTCTGCAGATAGCCGCTTTATGCTATTTTTTTTACTCTTATTTGATTCGTGTAGAATTACAATTGTACACATGTTGCAATAGCTTATTTCTCTTTGTGGCAATAGGGGAAGCCTGAGGTCTGGGAATCTTTCTTGCTTGGAGGCTTGTTTTTTTGGAAAGTCCCTGATCATTGCAACAAGGAGGAGAATGTTTGAGAACCTGTGAACTGTCTACCATGAAATGTGATTTCTTTTATATCCCCAGGATGTGAACGATCGTCCTCCTGTGTGTAAAGAACCATTTTTGCAGTTTTCCATATATTCCACCCAAGCCAGAAATATAGAAGTCACAGATATTAATTGTGAAGATGAGGAGAGGGGAACCAAACTGGCCTACAACATTGTTCGTGGTATGGAATGGGTCGCAAATTGCCGGGGCCTGTGTAAATAAATTAAAAGAGATCAGTACCAGGGTCTTCTTTGGGACTGGAAAAAGAAGGAACAAGCTGAACTTGAAACAGGGAAAAAGTTGGAGAATAGAAGCTCACCAATGAGGGCTATTACTGCTGCTACTTATAAGACACTTAAAGAATTAAATTGTAGGCAAAAAGTGGTTTTAGCAAACTGGACCCAGTTAGTGCTAGATAGTAATGATAGTGGGAATCTGCTGGAAATAAAGCATATTTTTTTCCACAGGGATGCTGTCCAGGTAGGGATGTCATGTCATCCAGCTGGTTCAATTTGTTTCTGGAAAATGGTTGTTAACGATTTTTTCCTCCGAGATCTGGAAGGCTTCCTCATTTTGCCCTAGACTTTTTAGTGATGGTCTAAGATAGGGCTTTTTACCCCTGGGAATTGTAGTTCAAAATAAGCTAAATGGAGGATGATCGGGCTTCTGTGGGAATTGCTTGGAGACAACTGGCCCAGCAAGTGGGAGAGCACTCGGAATGGAGGAACATAAAAAAAGCAGGCTGGCAGAGAGTGGGTCATTTTTCATTGCTTGGCAAATCTACCCTGTCTTTTGCCTAGTGCAGGGCTTTTCAACCTTTTCACCCATTGTACCACTTTTAGGATATGGCAACATCCGAGTACCACCAGTCACCTAGCAAGGTGTCAAAAACTTGATGACCCTCCCCCAAAAAAGGAAAAAAGTGATAAAGTACAGGTAGTCCTTGACTTACAACAGTTCGCTTAGTGACTGTTCGAAGTTACAATGGCACTGAAAAAAGTGCCCCCAAGCCACAGCCGAGCAAGACACCTGCCTGCCCACCCGGCGGCGCTCTTCCTTCTGTCCGAGGTTTTCATTGTTGTGAGCATTTCTGTTGAGGATTGGCAGTGGGGGTTGGGTGGGGGTATTTAGTTTTTATTCCCCCTATCTGCTGGGTAGTTGCAGCAGGTTTTGGTCACTTCACATGATCCTGGGACACTGTGACCGTCATAAATATGAATCAGTTGCCAAGCATCTGAATGTAAATCACAAGACCCTGGAGATGCTGCAACATTCCAGCTGATTGGTGCTTCTTCAGGGCTCAGCAGAAGCACCAGGATCAGCTCCGAGCTCCAGCTGAAGCCTGGCGCTTCCACTGAGCCCTGACAGCCCTGAAGAAGCGTTGATCCTGGTGCTTCCGCTGAGCCCCGACAGCTCTGCAGCTCCAGCCATCTCTTGCTCAGACTGCTGCCACCGGTTCAGCTCATTCCCCTCTCCCACTTTTCTAGGATGGTCGCGTACCACCTGCCAGGTGCCAATGTACCACAGGTGGTACCCGTACCACTGGTTGAAAAGCCCTGGCCTAGTGAAATGAAAAGGGACCAGCTATTTATAGGATCGTTCTTGCTGCAGGGGATAGTCCATTTCCTCGCTGGAGGAAAACTGGTCTCTTCCTATATCCTAATTCTTTGGCTCAAGCCAGGAATAACACAGCAACTGGAATCTTCCCCCCTCCCCCTCCCAAATTCTAGTAAGGTGTCTTCTTTCTGGAGCTTGTCTTTTCAGGTATCCCTACATTTAGAACTTATCATTCCAGACAGAATAGCTACATGAAACTCTGGTTACAGATTTTGGGAAGAGCACCTTGTTGAAAAATGAAAGGAATGCTATTCCTTTCACAACTCACAGAAGGTTTTTAATGCAACAGTGGAGTGGAACACCTGCCAATGGGAAGTTTTGGATGGATTTGTTTATGTATTTTTTTACAATGTAAACAACTACATGTTTAAAAAATGATTCATGAGGCAGGTCATTAGCCATTTATCATCTTTATGTAGAGTGTGGCTATAGGGTTGTTACTCCATAAATGCCACTTCAGTAGTTCAGAAGGCAACTGACTGGATACCAATAAAGGAGAATATTTGTAGCTCAGCGTTGACATGGGAGGTCCTTGGTGCTCTCTGAGCTTGCTTGTTTTCTTGCAGACGTTTCATTACCCAAACATCATCGCCGATGATGTTACCTAGTTTGGGTAGTGAAACGTCTGCAAGAAAACAAGCAAGCTCAGAGAGCACCAAGGACCCCTCAACTGACTGGATTTTTGTTCTCCTGTATTGGTCAGCTGTAGAGGAAAGAGGGAGAGCACTAATTGGCTCAGGATGACAATGCCTACTGTGTTTTGGTGTTGACAGAGATCTAAAATAGTGAGGATGATTGTGGATCAGTTTCAAATAGCTCTCAGAAGGATTTCTGGCAGAAAGTTATGAGCAATTAAATTAGGAATAAATTTGACACTCACTTAAAACAGCAATGCTCTTTTCTTTTCTAGGCAACGTAAATGGGCGTTTTCGCATGGTAGGACAAACCCTTTTTCCTAACACCTTTTCCTATAGACTTGATGGTATATATGATCCTCTTGTTTTTGTGCTTCTGGTGGAAGTGACAGATAGTGATATCTCACCTCGCTTCAGCACCACAGTCACAGTTGTTGTTAATGTGATCCCTTGGGCCACAACAGTACCTACTACCACCACAACTACTACGGTGAGCAGTCATACGTGTTGCGGTCATAAACTTTTTCTTCCATTTGCATCACTGGGGTTATCACATCTTTGTTATTTGTCCCACAGACTATTTCCCCAGTCTGTGAAGTAGATCATGAGAATGGATACTGTATTTCTCAACCTATGTGGCTTCCATAAGGAAGCATTTAGATGCCTCCAGAAAAGTGGCATTTAAAGATTGCTTTGTAAGCTTTGGCAATGTGAAAGCCCACTGGATTTTCTCAGGCACTGGGGAATTAGCACTTTATTTTTATCTCACTGTAATGAATATATATAGTACTCTTTCCTCCTATTTTCCCCTTAATGACAACCTTATGAAGTAGGTTGGGCTGAAAGAGAGTGACTGGCCCAAAGTCATTCAACTAGCTTTCATGCCCAAATTGGGGTGTAAATCACAGTCTTCCAGTTACTTTATGGTACTTTTTCCCCTCTCCATGTGATTTGGAATATGTGTGTGTGAGAGTGAATGACTCTGCTATTGTAAAGCATTCTGACTTAGCTACTGAGAGAGAATGTCAAATGATACGAAGTGCAGTATCACCAGGAAAGTCATATGATCTTGGTCTGCATTTTGGTTTAATGAATCCCAAAATATCAATTGGGTTTTTTTTTTAAGTCTTGATTGGGAATTTGTAACTTGCCATCTATTCTTAATAAAACTTCCTAGAACTGGTAACATAAATCATACTAGTTTGGGCTGCTGTAAATTGTAATTCTCAATTGGTGTAGGGCTAAACATTCCCTGGCATTGTTGAAGCACTGTTGCAGGTTGAATAAGGGATAATAGATTGAATCTGAGTTATCACAAAGAATGGATTGAAAAAAATGTATATAAAATTCAAGGAGAATCAGCACCCAATAATTTAGCTCTTTTATGAACTACATGGGTAGAGTTTGGCTGGGCTGAGCGGAGCATCTGAAAAAGCTGTGTATCTCTGCATACTAAATTTACACTATTATGATTTCAGATACTCCCCAAGAAACCGATTGTTTTGCACAGAACTGTGACATACTGGGCACCAGATCCGTGGTTTGTGGTGGTTCTTACACTCACTGGAATCCTCTTCTTTTCTGCCTTGGGTTTGTTGTTTTGGCAATTTTGCCGGAGGTGAATATTCAGGAAAATTATATCTGTGTTACTAGCTTGAAATCTAATATTAACTAGAGATTGACTTATTGATTATGTGTCATCAAGTTGATTATTAGCAACTGCTTAGATGGACCTTGTCCAGGATGGCTATAGTTATTACCATCAGCAATTTCAGGATGCATTGTGAAAAGATGAAAAGAATTGAAACCGAAGATGAGCAATCCTCAATGAAGGAGCATGATATGATTTGGTAGAATATATTATGGCCTCTCCTCTGCCTGGAAAACACGTTTTTTTTATAATTTACTATATGCTCCAAAAAACCATTCCCTGATTTTCCAAGCTGAAAAAACATTATGATTTATTTCATACCTCTTCAAAGCTCTGACCACATTCAAATAGGAGATGATGTCTTCTGAAAACTGACTCTACTCTTGTTTGGCTTTCAGAAAATCACCAGGAGAGATATCTCAGCTGCCGAACAAGTAAGCGCCTCTTGTCATAGATAACTAGTCGTCTTCATGGGGAAATACTATTTCTCATACAAGTAGTCCTCGACTTACAACAGTTCATTTAGTGACCATTCAAAGTTACAATGGCACTGACTTATGACCATTTTTCACACAACTGTTGCAGCATCCCCATGATCAAATGATCAAAATTTGGATGCTTGGCAACTGATTCATATTTATGACAGTCACAGTATACAGGGGTCATGTGATCACCTTTTGTGAGCTTCTGAGAAGCAAAGTCAAAGGGGTAGCCAGATTCACTTAACAACCCTGTTACTAGCTTAACAACTGCAGTGATTCATTTAACTATTATGGCAAGGAAGAATCAAATGGAGTAAAATTCAGTAAACAAGTGTCTCACTTAGCAACATAAATGTTGGGCTCAATTGTGGTCATAAGTCGAGGACTACTGTATTTTATGTCTAAGTTTGTGGACAAAACTTTGGAATAAGCTACAGATACAAACCATCAATTAAACCCCAAGAAACAAAGAAAAATGAGATAGCATACCATCAACATCAAAGCTGTATCTGTGGAATTAGAAACATAATTTGTAAACATTGGCATTTGCCAAAGAATATACCTAGATATAGCAATAAATTGCAGGCCAATACTGACTGGTAAATACAGTATTTGAACAAACTGCTATCAATATAATAGTTTTACAAGTTCTGTTAATAATAGAACTCACAATTTAAGGAAATTTTCATCTGTCCATCTAAAGAAGTGTCAAGCGTGATATGGATGGGGTTGTACTGAACACACCCCAACAGTTGAAATTCTTTTTTTTTGTAATATATTTTATTGATTTTTTTTAAACATAGATCACTTAATAATTGGTAAACAGTGTGTTGTCTGGATTTACATTTGTAAAAGAATCACTAACAATTTCTATAGTCCATAATCCACATAATGCTTTTAGTTGATTTCCTCTTTTCCTCAAAATGTCCTCTTTTGCAAACATTGAATTAATACAGTTCTTATTATTTTGATAGATAACAATGAAATATATAATTTTTTCCCAATATTCCTAAAAATAATAATCACATCAATATAATATTTATTTTCTATCTAATCATTCTGATTACCTCATCATAGATCCTGTTACAGTCCTTATTTAAACTTGTTTCTCCCACAAAATTCAAAGTATTCTTACTGGTTAAGATTTTCTCAAAAATTAATTACATTTAAAAATTTAAGTCTATTTTTTCCACATAAACCATCTCAACACCTTTACATTTCTTAAAGAATAGATAAAACAGTAAAAAAGAAAGGAGAGCAAGAGTAAGGAAAGAAAAAATAACATACTACTTAAAATATATATCCCTCCTAAGCTAATATATATGTTTCCAAAATTTCTTATTCTTTTTAACCATAGTTAAAAATATGTTTAAACTTTAAATATTCCATTTAATATGTCTAGTCATCTGGTCCTTTAACTCTTATTCAAAACATTTTTTTCTTTTTTGTCCATTATAATTTTCTTAAATTTAATCACATTTAATTATCTAAATCATTTCCTTTATCTAAGACATTTCAACTTTTTTATATCTCATATCAAGAAATAGAATTAAAAGGGGGGGGGGGAAGAGCATATTATGTTATTTAAGGGATTCATCCCTCTTAAAATGACATATATATTCAAAATCTTTTCTATTTCTTTAACCATATTGAAACAAATGTTTCTTTTTTAAGTATTCTCTCTTATAGGTCCCATCATCTATTTTCTTGATTTCCACTTTAGTCTTTTTCCTTTGCCCAGTATGTTTCTTAATCAATGTGTTTTGCTGAGTCAAAAAGTCTTTCCATATGTTCATAACTGTTACTGTAGATATAAAAAGTAAATTAGGTGAAATGTCTTTGTACGAGGCTTTTGCCTTTCCATGTTTATTGAAAATCTTTTTCTTTCTTTCCGCTTTTCTTATCATTTCCTTTCTCTCCGATGTTCCTAGCATCTCTACAGTCCATTTTATCCAATCTGTTTTCTTGTCCTCAGATTTATTTTGTAGTCTTAAGGGGTATGTTGTTTTTTCCATTTCTTGTGGATTTTTTCCCACAAGGATTAAATCATGTTTCCTTGTTTTGTTAAGTTCCATCTTTAAGTCTTTATTCTCCATTTTGTGTCCACTTATCTGTTTTATCTGCTCCTTCTCTGTTGTTGTTTTCTGGGAATTTTTGTTGTTGTAGGGTTAACTTGGAAATAGATTGATTTATATTTTCAAAGTGTTTTTGGATTTCTTTGTGATTTAAAATCATTGTTGTTTGAATTAGTTGCAGTATACTATATATCTCCTCCTGAGGAGTATTTATGTTTTCTTGATATGTTCTTTCTACATGTCTCTGATCCATAATGGCCAAGAATTGGAGTTTTTCTTTTCTCTGCAAATAGCTTTAGAGTCCCGGTTAAATAGATATTTGTAATCCAAAGAGTTCAAAAAAGATTTTTTTTCCTGAAGTTGATAGTTCTCTCTTTGTCTGCAGCCCAGATTATTACCTTTTTTGTCACAGCTGTTCTTTGTTATTAAAGTTTTAAAGGTCACAAACATAGTTTAGCTTCTCCCAGGGTTTGCCAACTCCTATATGAAAGTTATAGCTGTCATAGTCTTCATCCACCACTAAGTGTCAGCATCTATTTGTTTTTCAATTTCCAAAATGAACAATTATCTTTAGAACAGAGTCTTAACCATTCAACAATTTTAGACTTATCCAAATTTAAGTTTTAAATTTCAGGTTTTATATTCATTTCATTTCCTTATATTTTGATCCTCCATGAAAAGTTTAATTTGCCGCTTCCGTTAGCATAAGGGTGTCGCGGAAATCCCCCTCCTTCACTTTCGGAGGTATTTTGCTTCTTGGGGATCTTTTCCAGGAAATTAAATATAGAATAGAAAAGAGAAGATCAAATTCCTCACCCAGTTTCAAGCATGCTGTTCGCTGTTGTGCTGGTTAGTACTTTTGGACTTCGGTTGCAAGTAGCTTGGGCTGTTCAGTGAAGTATGGCCAGCCTTTCTCCTGTCGGGTTAGAAGGCTTTCCCCAAGTTGAACGGAATGACCACTGTCGTTCCAGAATTGCCAGGGCACCCTTCTTTCTTCGCTGCCTCTCCAGGGCGACTTAGACTCATTTAGGCTCCCCTGGCAGGGTGAAATTAGCCGCAGGGGTGCGGAGATCCACAAGCCTGCAACCGGTCACTACCGCGCAAGACCGGAAGTCTCCCAACAGTTGAAATACTATGCCACCTTGAAACTCTCCATCCAAAGGCTCTAAAGAACGATAACCTTTTATCATCAGAATATTTTATGCAAATTCAGGATATTGGCTTTTTAATTATTCTGCTTCTGGCAGTCTAGAGGGATGAGCCATGTAAGATGCAAAGCATCAGTGCTTTATTCTTTGGTTCTGTGGTTCTCACACTTTGAGGTATTTTGACCCCTTAAAAGAAAAAAAAAATCTATATAATCCCCCAGGAGTTAATGGTTTCACTAATGTTAGGGTTAGGCAAGAAGTGAATTTATTACTTCTACTAATTCAGTTTTAATCTACATATTCCATGGCTTCTCAAATATTATATTACATGACTTCTCAAACTTTATGGAATTGCTGTGAGCACGTAGGTAACAGGGAATAAAGCCCAAATACAGTTTTAATAGTGCTTCAATGTCACTTGCACAAGTCTAATTAGGTTTTTAAAAGTACTGTGATCCCCTTCTAAATTGCTTATGACCATTCAGGGTATCCTGACCCAGTTTGAAACTCCTTCAATTTGCCCTACTAATCTCCTCACCCAGCTGTAGAAATTTCATTAGACATTGTTTAAGAATTTTAAATAGGGATAATTTTTAATGATTTTTAATAATAAGAGACACAGCTACAAATATTTGGTTTTAATTGGCTTTTATTGGGGAAATGTGTTATGTTGTTTTAATATGCTGTGAGCCGCCCTGAGTCCCATGGGGAGAAGGGCGGCATATAAGTCAATGAAAATAAATAAATAAATAAATTGTTCTCATTTCTGTGTCACTTTTATTCCTTTGCAATCTTTCCTTTTAAAAAAATGATAAGAGAACAATTTTCATAGTGATGTCGTTCATTTACTGTATAACATGCACAACTATAGCAATGAGATTTTGCAGTTGCTGAAAAATCAGTGCTACTGGTTTTTTTTAATAATCTGTCTGCAGCAAAGGCCTGTGGATGATTCTTGGTGTCTAAAGCCTTCATTACACATGCTTCTAGAAAAATTGGGGGGTGGATTTGTATGGGCTAAATGTATTGGGACTGTAATTCTTAGTACACCTAGCCATACAGGCATGGTCATGCTGTAGTCTCCATATATTTGTGGGCACAAGCTTAGAGAAAATTAAAGTTAACATCAGTTAATTTGTGATAGAGCTCCAGACTGTATCTTTTAGGTCAGCAAATCTGGCTGGGGAATTCTGGGAGTTGAAGTCCACACCTCTTCAAGTGGTCAAGGTTGAAAACACTGTTTTATGTCATTGGTTCTGCTAGACTTCTGTCAGGATATTAATGGAAGAGCTCTTTTTTCATGCAATGTCTCACATTGTGTAGGAACAAAGAAGCGGGGGAAAATTATAAGGTAACAGAAGAAGCAAGGAAGCAGAAAGGGGAGGATGTCACTGACTTGCAGAGTCTGGTATGTTATCTTGGCCTAGCTTGATGTTTTTTTTACATTTAAGACTGTGCTTAAGTCGCTGTTGTCTCCTTCAGTTGATCAGTTGCAATCATCCTTGTGGCCCACATCGTTTTGCATTCTTCTGCATATTGCCTTTTATGGAATGTGGGAACTGTTTGATAAAGTAAAATCAACTGAAGCACTTGCTTGTCTATTTCCATCTTGTTATAATGATAGCAGTGCCTCTTCCCAGTAGTGATTGGAAGCAGCAACACGAGTTTTCTTGGGTCTCCCGTGGACTATTGTGCTGCTATTCAGTGTGGGAGCCAGTTTAACATCAGCAGAAAAAGAGAACTGTCTGCATAATGTGGGGAGAGGAGAAAAGAAGAATGGGGAACACTTCCTTTGATGCTGATATCAGAAAACCTATGATCTTCTGCTGTCTATTCATCCTCCCGTGGAGTGACTGGAGAGCAGGAACCAAAAAAGCCAACCTCTCCCTCCATACTGTCTTCCCTCTTCTACTATCCTTGGCAAGATTTTGTGGCTTTGTTCCTTCCCACCCAGTGTCAGCTATTCCTGGAGGAATCCATTATCAATTGCTGTCCTTAAAGTGTGGTGGTGCAGGCTTGAGTGAGTGTGGCAGGTTTCCTAGGACAGAGGCTTTATCCGCCTTCCCAGAAGGCAGTCTATCAATGTGAAGGTGCTCTATAGCAATAATTTGTCACTTAGGCTATTTTTGAACAGGTCATCTGAAAACCCAAGTGGCAGGAAGAATGGTTAGCATGCCTATGAGTCTGCCACCTACCATAAGATTGGTAAACCTCTATCAAGATAGCCCAAAGCACACATTGATGGAGGGGAAAAGAAGGATAAAATGCCTTGAAACTCCTACCCATTGTCAACCCCACCCCAGCCCCATCAGCTGGGCTAGTTTTGGATACAGATTTGCCAATCTTACAGAAAATCAATATACAATTTTATGTTTGTTCTTGCCATTTGGGCTAGAAAGGGAACTGGCAGAACTGTTGTCAGTTACATCCCGACTGCCAGTCAGTTAAGTATTGCAAGGGAACGCTGGCTGTAAGTAGCAAAGGAAGTATCTCATGGAGTAGACAAAATCGCATTAGAATAGGCAAAATGGCACTGTCTGCTCAATGCATTTAGCTAGGATTTTCCTCTGGAGGATGTCACGAAGATACAAGCAGGTAAAAAAATAGCTGTAATAGAATTTACTCACATCAGCTGAAATTCTTAAGTATTCAATGATACACTGGTGCTTCATCCATAGAGGAACCGCTGTATCAGGGTTTCCAAACATCAGGGTTTCCTGGTACATAGGGAAAGCATATTATGCTTCAGACACTGCCTCGGGGTCAGTCTTTTATGGGAAGGGTCTTTCTCAAGGAGGATAGGTATCCCAGCAGCACAAGATGAAAAGCCTCGGAGGGAAGCTACCTGGGATTGCAAGGAGGGTTTATGCCCACAGAGGTGTATATGAAGCAGTTGGAGGGGAGGCACTGCCCGTAACAAAATGAGGTCATAAATGAGGTTACACTACACTATTTGAGCAACAATGTGGAAAACACCACATTTGATGTATAGCAAAAAAGATTGACAAAAGCTGCTGTCGTGGGCTAGGGATAAGTTGAGAATGACATTTTCTTCTTGATAAACAGTGAGCTGCCTTATGCAGTGGCAAACAGGACATATGGATGAGGCCTCTGTATTGCTCTGGGAGAGTCATTAAATGACAGAAGGTTAAGTTCAAGAAAGCTTTCTTTCTTCTTCTTGGGTTCCTTGCCCTTGGGAAGAGGTGGATCATCTCTCTCTCTCTCATTATAGGAACAACAATTTGATGGCCGGGCTCAAGACCCCAGTAAGTTTAATCTCCAGTTTTAAATCATCTTGACCTCTAGAGAGATAGCATAGTCCAATCAGTCAATAGAAAGGACATAAATTCTCAATTTCCCATAAATGAGCTCTTGTATATAATTACAAGAAAGGAAATACCAGACTTCATCTTTTAGCTAAAGCTGGATTTATTTGCAAGAGGCTGAGAGCTGCAGTTGTGGTCACACATCACGTGTTTCTGCAGAGACTGCAGAGCTTAGCCAGTTGAAAACCTTTACTATTGCATGTTGCTGGTTCCCTTACACATAATAAGGAATGATTGCCAGAGACCAAACATTGTTGTGCTCTGCAGAGGACTTGGTAATACAATAATTCCTTGCTGGGAAGTCTGACTTTAGATGAAGGACGCCCTGTCTGTGCCCTTTCCCATCATTATTAACACTGAATTGTACTTTTAAAAAAAAAATCTAGAGAGAAATTATATGAGAATAGTTTATTATATTACATGAAAATAGATGATTACACACATATGTTCCCATTGGCTCTCATTCAGCTCTTTGGTCCTCTTTCTCCCTTTGTGGCCTGATGGACATTCTTTTGCCTAAGTTGTATATCAGAAACTCTTAAATTTTTGTAAGCTCATGCTTGTGTCATCAGTGACAGTTCTTTTTCCTCCTTGTCTCACCCATTTTTTGGCTGCAGCCCACCATAAATCATTCAGGCCAGATATAGTCCTGGGGCAAAAAAAAAATCCCCCCACTCCATCACCTCCATATACTAGGTAGCTTTTTTCGCAGACCCACATTAGTGATTTGCCTGTTTGTTTGTTTTTTATTCCAGTCTCACTTGCAGCCCTTGTATTCTCTGCTGGTTTTGCAATTCAAGTATTAAGCAGGCCCAATCTTATGTAACTTTGAAATACAGAAGCTTTGCCAAATGATGTTACCCGCTTTAGAGGTTGAAAAAGGATGAATGCCTATTGGTGGGTCTCTAGGAGTTTTCTGAGTCTGTGCAATGTTATAAAGTCTAACCATTTCATATTTAGAAGTGAAATTGATGGCAACTCTGGTTTAAATCGCTATCTTCCCAAATTCTATAGAGGAGCAGCTTTTAGGTATTTCATGACATTGTATAACATTATGAAATTCAGCTTATTTCTGTCTTAGAGCTGTATTCTAAGATGGACAGCTCTACAAAAATAAAGTAGAGTAAAAGTAACACTAAAGCAGGCAAAAAACTAACTAGCTCTTATTTTTTGTCTCAAGTCTCTGGCCAGTATTACCTGTTTGACAGCAGCACTGGAGCACGGCGCTGGGTGTGAGCATGAAGGAAAATGAAGAGACAGCTTTCTGGACACCAGGAACTCTCTCTTGGGTATCTGCTATATATGTTGATAATGGTGGCACAACGGTAGCTTTCCATTAGTTACATGTATTTTAATAATCAGAGGTTGCCACTTTCCTTTCTTCTTTTGCTATTCTGGTTTCCATGGTTGTTTCATCGGTGAAAAGTTCTTTCCACTACGTCTTATGGTGTCCCTATATCTGGAAATTCTCCATATTATGGAAGAAGGCAACACATTAACCCACTTGTCCCTCCATCTTACAAAGACATGTGTCTTTGAGAAATTGCTGTAATAAAGGCCCTTTTAGTGTTGCCTGAGTACAGAAGAATTGTATGTGAACTGTAAAATCTGGTTCAAAAACAAGGGATAGCAACTGAGTTTAATATTAAATTATCTATTTCTCTGGTTAGGCATATTCATTTCTGTTGTAGCTCAGTGGTTCTGAAGTTTTGTGTCATTTCGCAATATAGCATCATGTACATATTTCTTTCCTTCGATTTCATTTCTCTTGCTGATTGTTGGGGATGTTTGAATAACTGGGAAATAATAAAAGAATTACTGTATTACTGTTAGCGTGGTTGGACAACCCACTCGCAAGGTTTCAGTTTGTGTCGTTGTACTCTATGTCATTGACATTAAAAGATTATGAAATAAGTCACGTCCAATCCAACCTAAGTACCACCCCGTATAAAAAAGGTCCACGAGGGATCCGTTTCGAAATGAGTGTAATCACGATAATATCATATTATTTCACTTATTTTTATTTATTAAAATCTTCCCCTGACATATGAAGTTATCAGAAGTCAGAGATTTGGGGGGTATGAAATAGCAATTTCCAGACCAGCTGTGGTCCAAATGTCTGCCAGATTGATTCCCTTTCTGCTTCAAGGGGATGTGTTGTATTTAGAATAGAGAAGAGAGTGGAAAGTCTTCTGAGAGCAGCTTTCTGCTCAAAACATGGGAATTAGTATTGCAGCTTGCCACTAACTGTTAACTAAACTTATTCTTCTTTATCTCCTAACAAAATTCTGCATATAATGGACAATGATGGTATTTACAACAGTGTATTATTTTAAAATTTTGGATATTGTCTAAATGGTGATTATGTATGTCGCTCTAATACTGCAGTCTATAGTACAATTTTTTGGGGATGTGCAGTAGTGGCCAGGACAAACCTGTGATGTGAAAGTGCCCTCTGCTGGAGCACCAATTGAAACAACTTGATTTATTACTGGAAGTAATATAAGATTATTATACATTAGGAATATGTAAATTCTCAGTGTTACACAATAAAGTAATTAATTGCCTAAATAAAAATAATTAATGACAGGTAAATGTGTTTATATTCTATTGGATAGGATTCTATTATTTCTTTTTAATAAACTAAATTCAGTTGTTAAATATATTGAAATACACAGTGGAAAAAAGAAATGATTGAAATAAAAAGTAGAAAAAAACAAAACAAAACAGACTGTTGCATTTGAAATAAAAGAAAACATGGTGAAATTAAGCCAATGGTGTATTTTTGTTATCAACCCAAGCAGCTGCTAGCTGAAGCTGAAGCAAGTGAGAGAAGCTGAACAAACAACAAATGAACTCAAGAATAACAAATAAATAAGAACTGAAATAGAAAGTGTCTATTGGGAGTATGGATATCCAATAAAAGTCAAAATGTCAAAATGATATTGAACTACATAGTAAGGATAAGATTGAGTTACCAGTAATTTACTATGTGTATTGGCTGACACCACTGTAACTTAAATCCTTTCTGGAGAAAGGATATAAAGGAATCAGCATCATAACTACTTTTGAAAAATTAATTATCCTTCTCGACTTAAAGGAACAATCTCAACAAATTATAGGTTATTATTGAATTTGGAATTAGATAACCTT